GTTCCGACCCCTCAGACTACGCTTTCGGGTAGGCGCGGGTCCGCGGGGGTGGCCCGGGGCGGCGGGGACGGCGGGTCCCGCCGCCCGGTTCCCAATCAGATGGGAGCGGCGAGAGGATAATTTGGATGTGCGAGAACAAACCAAGGTCATCAACACCGCCGAAAGAGCGCAGGAACAATAGATTCATTTGAAACAATATTTTACAGACGTTTCGCGATCAATACGAACTGAAGCATTATGCTGTACCAATCTGTTAATGCTCTTAATGGTCTTCTCATTCCGGTAGCACACTATACCGAGTCGATAGAGTAAAGTGATTATTACAGAGACACTTGCAGCATATTTGAAAAAAAAAACAAACCCCACGTATTTCCACCACTGTTTTAAAGCGGGATTATTCCCCCGGAGCGGGGAGCGGCTCCGTGTGTCCCCACCTCGTGTCCCCACCTCCGCCACCCGTCCTGCACGTCGCAGCCCCTGCCAGCAGAATCAAACATTTCTCACCAACCTGTACCAGAAAATTTGGAAGTCTTCGGATGCAGAAAAAATTTAAAATAACAATAAACAAAATACCAACCTCCCAAGCTCGCTCCCCGGAGCGTGCGGCTGCTGGAGGGGCCGAACTGCCCGCGGGCTCCGCTCCGCTCCGGTCCCTACTTCAGCCCTCCGGGAGGCAAAACTCTTCTGAATCCCCAAATCTGGTGGCCGGGAAGTTTATATCTTTCCCCTCGCTGTTTGCTATACACAGCAAGCCTCTATTTACTACCAAATAAAAGAAATACATGTATGTTTCGACCACAAACAGGCGAGCTAGTTCTGTTCAGCCAAGCTCAAAACAGTGGCCGAGAAGAATCGTGTTATCTCTTGAATTGCAAACAAAGGCAGGTATTTGCCGAGTGGGATTGCAGCAGTAAACAGAAGTGGCCGCGGAGTTGCTAACAGCTTAGAGGAATGAAGCAACTTTCTTTGAATTACACCAACCTCCCTGGCAAACAGTTTTTCTCTCTGTAAAGATGTTGTTTTCTCCATCACTCAAAGCGATTGCTTTCACTCCATCCGAGGGCAGCAGTTGATGCGGACTCTCCAGAAACTTTAGGCAGGGCCGGGGGTGCGGGGGGGGTGTTTACCTTGGCAGCCTGTCCCGCTCCTCGCCGGCGCTCCCCGCCCGAGAGCGGCTCAGCGCAGCCGGGAAAGCCGGGTCTGCTGCAGAGCCCTCGCCCGGTGGGCATCCACCGCCAAATGTCACCTCGTCCCTAGAAGGGAGAGATGAAACCGCTCGCTTCCCTTTTCGCCGGAGCATTTGGGGGTAGGATGGAGTTCGGGGAGACTTTCTGAGGGCTTGAGAAAAGCCTGAGCGCCAGACCCGGCTCGCTGTGGATGCGGACGGAAAGGAGCATCCCTCTCCGAGGGCTTCTTCCCGGCCAGGGAGGGAGGAAAAGCCCGTCCAGTCCCGGGAAGTCCCGCTGCAGGAGGGGTGCCGGTCAGGGGGCAACGAATTGGGGTCACACGCCCTCAGCCCACCGTCTGTGTCCAACTTTATTGCGCGGTTTCACAGCCTGTTGTCTGCTGTCGATTCCGCGGCGTGCAAGGGCAGCAAGAAGCAGAAAACCTGGGCTCTGGTTTTCCTTTTTTTTCCCTTCTTTTTTTTTTTTTCCCTTAATTAAAAAGAAG